CGTCGCTCGGTTACGACTCGGTTGCTGCGCCGACGTGTTCTACTATGTCAACGACGCGGACCTCGTCCCGTGCCGCCACTGGAGCATCATCGTGCTCGTGCGGGTCGATGGCGTTGGATTCCAGGCATCGCAGCTATCGCTGCGGGGCCAGCCCCCGATCGCACGCACCGCCGACCCTGGGGGCCCCTCCGCTGCTGGCGCCTTTGCCCTCGCTTTCCTCCTTGACTCCTGGCTCCCCTCACCTGCCTCGGCCTTGGGGGTAACGTGCATCTTCGACGGCTGGGCCCGTTGCCCATCCCTGTCTTGAGTTCGCCGCAGCTCATCCGTCGGTGCGCATGTCCCTGGGGCCCAACTCCTCGGTCCGTCAGGTCCCGCAGGGCCCTGCTCGATCCTCGTGGCAATTTTAGTCGCCCGACGGGCGCGCCCTTTGGTTTGGTCGATTTTTGTAGCTCAAATCGTAACCTCTTGATTTGAACGCTCCGTGTTTGCAGGCGTGCATCGAGCGCGGCCTTGTGGCTGCCACCGCCGCCACGCGTTTCCATGTTAAACCGAAAGTTGTCGGCCCACGGTTGCGTGTTACTTTGTATGTTTCCTCTTTCCCCTCTTCCTCCATTTCCTTTTTTCCTCCACTTCGGAGCAGGAAGGGGAGGGAAAAGAGGAGGTGGAGGTGGCGGAAGAGGGAAGAGAGAATAACGTCGCATTCTTTTATCAGCACTTCCTTCGCGTGGCGTTTAGTTGTCCGCAGCAGATCCTCACCTACATGCTCGTCCTACCTGTCTTGTGCACGCAGGCTTCGTGGTGTACACCAGCACCGCGCGCGCGGATGTTGTGGTGTAAGCATGCTTGCGCGCAAGCACTGTGGTGTACACAGGCGTTGTGTTGTACATGGTCGCTGCGGTGTTACACATTCGCTGTGGTGTACACCGGCATTGTGGTGCACGCAAGCATTGTGGTGCACACAGGCGCTGCATCGCACACGGCTGTTGCGCTGTACGCAGGCGTTGTGGTGTGCACGCGCGCTGTGGTGCATGCGAGCACTGTGATGTACACAGGCGTTGCGGGGCAGGTCGCCACCTATATGCTGCTTGCGTCGTCGTCGTCGTCGTTCGTTTGTCACTCGTCGCTCATCGTGTCGTGCGTGCGGGTGCGGCTGTGGTGCCAGAACCAAGCAGCGGGGGGGGCGTTACATTATACCCCATCCGGCCCCCCCCGCTCTATAATGCTTAGAATCGCCAATACTGAAGAAACGCGTTCCAGGGTCGAAGTCTTTGGGCGTTTGGGGCCGAGGATTTTTTCTGCGGTCCTTCGGGGGTGGTCCGGGGGGGGGGGGGGGGCATGTCCTGGCAGGGCTGCCATTTCCTGGGGAGGAGGTGGCGATCCCCCTGCACAGAGTCAAGGCGCCGAAGTGGGTACGGTCGGACCGAGGGACGAGATCGAGGTCGGTTCGCGGAAGGCACCCTCACGTTCGACGTGGTTGCTGGATGTTTCTGTCAAAGGAGGACGAACCATCTTGACCCGATAGTTGGCGTTTGCCAAACAGTCTTGGGCGTTTGCCAAAAAAGCCCTGCCCTGGCCGATTCTTCTTTTGGGTGCGTTTACGAAGCGGCTTCCTGGCGGCAATTTGTCCGCACAGCGAAGCTGTCAGCATAGCGCAGCGCTGTGCACCTGTATTGTATAATTATGCATTTGTGTATTTAGTTGTAATTTTTCCCATCCAGTGTCCTACGCACCTCCGGGTGTATGACTTCTTGCTTGCTTGCTACGAAACGGCTTCGCGTGTCGGGGTGATTATTATGAGGGTGGATTTGCTGATCTCTATTCCAGGCCTCCTATATGGGGTCCAAGCAGGTGGGGTCGGGGGAGCGCGCCGCATCGCCGACGCGTCGGCGATGCATCGGCGGTGCGACTCGATGTGTGGCCCAATTTCCTTCACGCCGACGTCGCCGATGCGCCGTCGACGTCGCCGATGCATCGCAGATGCGTCGCCGATACAGCGGCGATGCATTGGCGATGCGGAGCGATCATTCGAGCCCATCTACTCGGGCGAAGAGAACTATGCACATGCACCGATCCTGGCAAGGCCCATTTTTGACCCAGGATCGGTGCATATGCCTTCCTGGCCAAGGTAGGAGGGCGTATGCACCGATCCTGGGCTCAGGATGGGCCTGGCCAGAATCGGTGCATGTGCATAGTTCTTTTCCCTCTATCTACTCGGACCCCATCTTGGGGCCTCTTCCCTGGGGAGAGGGTACCCGTCGGGTGTTCTCTGTGTGTGTGTGCGTTGGCCGGCGGAGGGCCTCATATGTTTTTGCAGGATGCTCACCTGTCCTATACACCTTAGGCGATGCTTAAGAAAACCTAGATTTTCGGCCAGAGTCTCGATTATTCTTAATGTTTCCATGTCAATCCTAAGATTTGAATGGAATATTTGGGTTTTCATTCAAGTTCTGAGACCATGAATTTCTTAACCCATGATTTCTTAAGCATTTCGCAGGGTGTACAGTCGGGGCCCTGAAGAAGGAACCCTGTTCGTTGGGGAGGGGCTCCGTGTTCCTTGATTGTTTCGCAGCTTGCCTTAGGTTCTCCTTAGGTGTTCGATGGGAAGTCGAACTTTGACTGATGGGAAAAAGGGGCCTCGTTCCTTATGATTTAGCGTTCCTCAGGTCAACGCCCCCACTGTAGGTCCGACGGTGCCACTGCGGTTTCTGGCTTCTGGGCCGTTCCTTCGGTTGGGGTCGGAGCCCCGTTCTTGGCCGAGGCTCGCCGTGGCCAAGAAAGCCCTTCTGATCCCGACAGGCAACGTGCCCAGCAAGGACGCGCGCCTGCATCTAAGGGTACCCGTGTGGCCTTGCCTCTGCGGCCCGTCCTTTGCCGTCTGCCCTGGTCGCTCGCCGCCCGAGAGATCCAGCTTCGGCCTCCTCGGGTCTCTTGCGTCCTCACCACCCGTGCCCAGTACACGTTCTGATGGTGCTCAGCGTGCCTCCCAGTAGCTCACCACCTACCAGACCACCCCAACCCAACCCGAAGGCCTCAATTTGCCCTCCATTTCCAGTGGGGGGGGGTCGAGGAACGTTGAAAAAACACATGGAACCCGTACCCCCCCCAACCCGAAATTCGGGTCAAATTCGGGTCTTCGGGTTGGGTTGGGGTGGTCTGGTAGGTAGTCAGTAGCAAGATCTGGCTGCAGCGGTGGCCCCCTTTTGGCACTGCCCCGCCCTCGGCCGATGACGGCGGTGGCCTCCCCGCCCGGCGCGGACGCCTCGGCCGCCCATGGCGGCAGCCTGCGCAGTCAGCAGGCGCGCGCGCGGCCGGCCGAAGGGCCGCCCCACGGCGCCCAGGCCTCCGAAGAGCAGCTTCTGTGTGTGTAAATCAGGAGGGAAAAAAACACACAGACACAATGAATCGTCGATCCCAGGAAAATATGGGAAAATATGAGAAGTGTGTGGGGGGGTAGACAGGACCCCAGAAACTATGGGAAAATGTGGGGAATCCTTTTGTGTGTGTGTATTTATTGCGAAGGCCTGACGGCCGGTGCCGCCGACCCTGTTCGCAATGCGCAGCAAGAGGCAGGGCTGTGGGATGGTTTGGGGGAACGGGGAGAAGGAGGAAGGTGGGGGGGGGGTGTCGTATCTGACCCGGGGGGGGGGTCGCTACCCCCCCACCCCTCCCGGCGGGGGAGGGATCAAAGGGAAGGGGCTTCCCTTCGACTCAATTACGAGGTTGCTCAAGGTCGGCTTGGCTGGAGCCCAGGGGTAAGAGGGGAAGAGGAGTCCCAGGGGGGGGCGTCGTATCTGACCCGGGGGGGGGTCGACACCCCCCCCCCCTCCCGGCGGGGGAGGGATCAAAGGGAAGGGGCTTCCCTTCGACTCAATTACGAGGTTGCTCAAGGTCGGCTTGGCTGGAGCCCAGGGGAAGAGGAGTCCCAGGGGGGGGCGTCGTATCTGACCCGGGGGGGGGGTCGCTACCCCCCCCCCCTCCCGGCGGGGGAGGGATCAAAGGGAAGGGGCTTCCCTTCGACTCAATTACGAGGTTGCTCAAGGTCGGCTTGGCTGGAGCCCAGGGGAAGAGGAGTCCCAGGGGGGGGCGTCGTATCTGACCCGGGGGGGGGGTCGACACCCCCCCCCCCCTCCCGGCGGGGGAGGGATCAAAGGGAAGGGGCTTCCCTTCGACTCAATTACGAGGTTGCTCAAGGTCGGCTTGGCTGGAGCCCAGGGGAAGAGGAGTCCCAGGGGGGGGCGTCGTATCTGACCCGGGGGGGGGGTCGACACCCCCCCCCCCCTCCCGGCGGGGGAGGGATCAAAGGGAAGGGGCTTCCCTTCGACTCAATTACGAGGTTGCTCAAGGTCGGCTTGGCTGGAGCCCAGGGGAAGAGGTCTCCCAGGGAAAGGGAAGGACAGAGACGACGAGTACAAAGAATGACGGAGATGACGGCTCGAACGGAAAAGCCCCTCACACACGCCGACAGGGTCGGCGGATTCTGAGAAGGCCCGCCCCTTCTCACTGTCCCCAAGACGCACAATTGGGCATCGGTTTTTGTTGCGCACTTTGTCTGTGCGTGCTCGAGCTTCTGTGTCGCCTTTTGCTGGTGGATTCTGCTTCGGGGGATCCCAGTCGTGACCGAGCCTTCCGAGAAGGCCCGCCCTCTCTCACTCCACCCCCAGGCTCGCCGCCAAGAGGAGAGAGGCCCGGGCCGCCGAGACTACGCGTAGTCATCCCATGCGTGTCCCCAGGGGCTTGGCGGCTTCTCGCCAATCGCATTGTGGGGATCAAACCGACTGGGCCAAGGTACATTCAGATACATCGACGAACGTCCAAGCATATCCAGGCAAATCGAGAGATCTTCAGGGAGGTGTGGGGCAAATCGTGGCAGCTCCAGCGCGAGTCGGGGGCCGGCTGAAGTCGTCAAGCCCTGGGCGAGCGTGCCAGGCCCCCGCTGCATCGGAGCTCGTCTTTTCGCGGGCGCCTCCGTAGCCACTTCGCCCGCGCCGCCGCTCCCCGAGGTGACAGCGAAAGACTGGGCCACCAGGCGCACGCAGAGCATCAGGGTCATCGCCTTCTCTTCCTCCCCTTCCTCCCCTTCCTCCTCCCCCTCCCCTTTCACTCTGGGCCTCCCAAATGGGGTCGGAGTACATGGGGTCGGAGAATCGCGCCGCATCGCCGATGCATCGCCGATGCGTCGGTGATGCGGCTCAATGGGGAGACCGATCTTCTCCACTTGGACGTCGCCGCTGTATCGCGATGCGGAGAGATCCTCCGACCCCATCTACTCCGACCCCAGCTAGGAGGCCTCTATTCACCCCCCCAGCAATAACAAAGTAGTTGCTCCCAACTGCTTTGAGACTTGCCGCCGTCCCAAGAATTGGATGCGCAGCAAGCCCTGTTCTGCCAGTCCCACTGCTCCAGATGTGCTCATCCGAGAGGCGCACAATGCGCAATGGGCCGAAAGCTCTCCAGCTTCAGGCAAGCAGATGAAGACATCAGTCAGTCAGATGCGCTGGTCCCCCTCTCCCTCTTCCTTCTCCTCCAACTCCTCCTCCTCCTCCTCCTCCTCCTCCTCCTAGCCGTTCTGGCTCAGGCTGTTGTGGCCTGAGCTTGCAAGCGCGTTCTTCAGCGGCTCGCGCTTGCGAGCCATCCTTTCGTTCGTTCACGGAGAGGAGCCAGCGACCGCACCTCGAGCGGCGCATGGTTCCACAGCCCGATGTGCTGCCAGGCGCGCGCACCCCCTACTGGGGGTGCTCTTGCGGCTGCTGGAACAACTGGGCGAATCGAGTCAAGTGCAGGAGCTGCGGGGCGTCGGCACCCGCGAAGGTGGTCCAGGCGGCGCGCAGAGCTGCAGCGGCTGCCAAGAGCCCCTCGGTTTCGGTCAAGCAACGTGCTCAGGGCGCCTGGGCCGATGGGCCGCCAGGAGGGGCAGTCGCGGCCGAGCAGGCGAGGCTCATCCAGGAGCTGCGTGTCAAGGTGGCGGAGCTCAGCGGCAAGCCGGCGCCGCCAGCGCCCCCTTGGCACGAGCAGCCAGCGGGCGCCAAGGCGAAGGGCAGTGGCAAGGGGCAGGGCCCAGCTGGAGGCGGTCCGCCGAAGGCCAAGGGCGTGGCGCCAGCGGCTGCTGCAGGGCTCTCTCACGAGCTGGTGGCGGAGTTTCTCAAGAGTGAGGGCCTTGAGGACGCCCATGCTGCGGTCTTGGCGGCAGCGCAGACCAAGGCTGCGGCGCCGCCCAAGCCGCCCACCACCATGTCGGCCTGGTGGAAGGTGGAGAACCTCAAGAAGAAGATCCAGAAGGCAGAGGCCCGCTGCGTTGACATCAACGAGCAGAGGGCAGCCCTCGACGAGGAGTTGGACGGCATCCAGAAGGGGATCGACCAGGCCAAGGCGGACCTCGTTGCCGCCCGAGGAGTGCTGGCGAAGCTCCAGGCAGGAGAGCACGAGAACCCTCTCAAGGTGCTCACGGCGGGGCTGGAGCCTGCGGTGCTGTCCACGCAGGAAGGCAAGGACGCCCTGGCTGTCCTCGAAGAGCTGCAGCGCAAGGCGGCCGCGGAGGCGGAGGCAGCCAAGCAGGCGACTGAGGATGAGGACGTTCGCCCAGGCCCTCCTGGCGATCATGGTGCTGATGCTGGGTGTCAGGCAGAGGATGCCCCTGGGGATGGAGGTGAGCACCAGGCCGTCCCCATGGACGAGTCCGACTTCCTGGAGGCCGATTTCCAGGAGTCCCTCAAGCGTGCCATGGACGGCGAGGGGGACACGTCTGCAGCCGTGGCCAAGCTGCTCGCCGAGCACACGGCCAAGAAGGCGCGTCGAGGGTGACGGCCGAGAGCGGGTTGATGCAGACCCAGTGGCGACCAGTGCCCCCGTGCCAGCGGCGAGGGCGGGCTTCGGCATGGCCGACCTCGACGCGTTCACAAGGGGCAACATGATCGACTTCGACTGGGAGCAGGCGACGGGGTTCGCAGTCCCAGTGCGGAGGGACGACCTCGTCTTCGACACGGAGCTGTTCCGCCAGTTCGACGGGGTCGGTCTGGGCCCACGGCAGTGGCCTCGCCTGGGCCACGAAGCTTCGGACAGAGACGGACGGTCTCGCGGAGCTGCCCCCCCTCGGGTCGAGGACCCTCGAAGAGGGTCAGGGCCAGGGACTTCGCCTTCTGGGTCGACCTCGACCCCGACAGCATCACTGTCTCTTATGTCGCGCGAGGTGGGACCCCTCGGTCGCAACGGGGCTGGGGGCCTTCCCCGCGAGTCCACATCTACTTCGGGTACCACCTCGGGGTCGGCGGCTCCCGCGTCTTCGGGCACCACGTCGAGAGGAAGTACCGGGACGTCTGGAGGCGCATCTGTGGAGCGGAAAGGCCCGCGCCACCTCTCCTCCCCACCTGTTCATGGGCATGGTGTGTTGCAGGCTTGCGTCGCATCTGGAAGTGATGGGCCTTGTGTTCTCGGAGGAGGCCTGGGCGATTTCATGGAAGGACGCGGCGGTCTGCCTCCACCTGCGGCAGGGGCAGCGGTGTGTCAAGCTAGCCCCGACGGTGCCCAAGGAGACTTGCCCTCTGAGCGGAAAGGGCTACATCATCTCTCGTCCCCACCTGGCGATGGACGCAAAAAGGGAAAACTATGTCAGGACGGCGTGCTTCGAGGAGTCGGCCACTCGGTCACGATCGTCAGCGATCTGATCATTTTTGGGGTGAATGCGAACACGTGGGACTCGTTCACTAATGTGGTTGACTGGTGTAGGGACCAAGAAGCGAACCTCTTCGGGGTGGTGTCGGCTTCAGGCGAACCAGTCAAGCCGCATGTGATCTGCGTGCAAGAGACTCGGCTGAAGGAGAAGGGTAAGTTGGACTCCGCCTATGGCTGGGGTGATCGCCGCTCCTTCGCGTTTTCTCTAGGACCAGCAGCGTCTACAGGGCCAGGTCCGACGCAGTCCTCGGCAGGAGTAGGCTTGGCAGTGGCCAGCTCTCTGGCGTCCTCTAGTGTGCCAAGGCCACCCGAGTTGGAACCTTTCAAGTCGCGAGTGGCAGGCAGGCACATCAACGTAGGACTTCCAGGCGGGTTGATGGTCTTCTCGGTCTACCTCTACACCAGCATTGGGGTCGCAGGGGACAATGTTGAGGTATTGAACACCCTCGGAGAGTACATCAAGTCCCTCACCTGCCTCTGGATCGTGCAAGGGGACTGGAACCTCACTCCTGAAGAACTCGAAGCATCGGTATGGGTGTCCAAGGTTGGGGGATGTATGTTTACGACGGGCCATGCTACGTGTCGATCAGGGCCCGCTCCAGGATCCAGTTCAGGGCCCGAGGAGGTTGTCGACAGGAAGGATGAGCGGGATATCGATTTCTTCGTGGGGTCCAGGTGTTTGGGGCACTGCGTCAAGGAGGTCCTGGCGTTCCCTGCAGCCCCCTCGTGGCCTCATATGCCTGTGGGTATCGTTGTCAAGAACCTGGCCCCGTCGACGGTCGTCCCGAAGCAGGTTAGATATGCGCAGTTCCCCTTGGACAAGCTTGTGGGTCCTCGGAGGCTCCCTACGGAAGGCACGTGGTCTTGGGAAGTTGGAGGAGGCTCGCACTGTTTGGGGTCCATGGTCAGGGAATGGTTCACCCAGGCCGAGGGCTGGCTCGTGCAGTTCCACGACCTAGACAGTGCTAGCGTGACCAGGACGTGTGGAAGAGCTGGGGGGCCTAAAGTCACTAAGATTCCCCTCGAGACGGTTTGGGACCGAGAGTCTAGGAGAAGATATTCAAAGCGGACCACCAGTTGGATGTCCTTCGAGGCGTTGGCTCGTCGAGCAGCTGCAGTTGGCCCAGATATGCTAGGCGCCAGAGCTCGCGGTCTTTTTCATGAATGGTGTGCCGCCCTGTTCGGGATGATCTCGGCGCTGGAGGCGCCAGACGAAGGCACGAATGTCCGATCTTTGGTCAGCCTAGTCGAAGGGATATCCATGGGGCTCAGAGATGAGTTAGAAGGGCTGTTCGGGCAGTTACGAGAGTACGTAGAAGGCCTGCGAAAGTCGGACGCCAAGGAGTCCCTATCGGAGTGGAAGGAGTGGGCTAAGTCGTCAGTGCAGCGGGGAGGGAAGGCAGCGCATGCTTATTCCAGGGTTTCTCGCGCAGACAGGACGGTCCCGTTCAGTGTCGTAGACGACCACGGCCGCTTACCAGTCAACGGTGAGCTCGCGCTCCTCCAGCTTCTAGATCAGTGGCTTCCCCTCTGGCACAAAGAAGGCAGGCTCAGCAAAAATCACCCAGCTCATTGGGATGTGTTGGGACAAGAATTGCCACCTATCTCTCTGGGACAGTTGAGACGTGTGTGTAACTCGTATGGGGAAGGGGCTGGTCTTGGGTGGGACTCCTTCCATCCCCGCCAGATCTTGTTTCTTCCAGAAGAGTATCAATTGCGTGTTATCGACGTCCTTCGCTCGTTCGAGGATCGACCCTGTGTGATTGCAGAGTTTTTGACGAATGTCATCTTCCTCGACAAGCCAGATGGTGGAGTACGCCCGATAGGATTATTGTGCATGTTCACCAAGATCTGGTCGAAGTGCCGTCAAAACATCTGCCGTACCTGGGAACAGGCCCACGAGCAGGCCTTCTTCTGGGGCGTCGGGGCCACGTCTACCTGTGAGCGAGCAGGATGGGTCCACAACATGCTGGCCCATTTCGGGAAAGTCCTGGGGACCTCGGCGGCGACGGTGCTTCTGGACCTTAAGAAGTTCTATGAGCACATCGACCATATGGACTTGTATCGTGCGGCGTGCCAGCATGGTTTCAATTTGAAGCTACTGCGAGGGTTGTGTGTGATTTATGCAGGGGATAGGATGCTGCACTATGGAGGGGCGGTATCTAGGAAGGTGCAAGGTAATGGGGCAGTTATTGCAGGGTGCCCAGCAGCTACCACGCTTACGAAGTTGCTTTTGTTGTCGCCGCTCTCGGCCGCGCAGTCTGGCCGGCCGCAGTTGTGCATCCGTAACGTGATAGACGATATCGCGCTGCAGATTGTTGGTCCGCAGCAGCTCATTGCACCGCAGCTCGCCGCAGGTGTGCAGTCCCTGTTGTCCAGT